TATTTTGTTTTATCCATATTAATAAACGCATATAATAAAAACTTAAAAAAACATTTTTATTAATTAATTCCCTCGCTTGAATTAGTATTAGATAAAAATATAAAAAAGGTGCATATTTACACCACTTAGTCTTTTATTTAAATTATTGTATATCATTTATTTATCATAATTTTCTGTTTACTTGATTATTCTGTTTACGTTTAAATCCAAGGGAAAAAACGATTAAATTTGTCGACTTCATGTCCTCAAGTCTAATCGCGCGAACATTCGCATTTCATTAAAACTTAGGATAATTTTTCCTCAAATATTCAATCTTTTCAAAACTTATACCTTTTAAGCAAAAACTTCGACATTAGGTCATCGTCTCTTCAAAAACCCGTCCGTACCCCTTTTTCGGCTAAAACAATTTATTTTTCAATCAAACGAACAATTTTAATAAAACAGATATTTCAAAAGGTTCCTATAGAGTACTATAGATACATTAGGTGCTAATACCTTCCCACTGTATAACCAACCCCCGAATCATAGATCTCTTTTCAAAAACGCCGTGTATTTTTATTACTTTTAAAAGTATTATTTTACATTGCATATTTAGGGTTTTATTTCGCTCTTTCCCCTTTTCCCTTGGAAACAATAAAGCGCGGTGGCGACTCTTACTTTTTGTGAGACGAATTAATCAATAATTCGATCTCCGATTTACCCCGCTACATTTTTTATCGCTACACCATCCTTCTTGAAAATACACTTGAATCCAACCACCCTTTGTTTCTTAAGTAGTCTCACAAGCTTCAAAGTATGGTTCTTCATCAGAGAATTCATCTCATCATTTACTGCAATCAACCATCTTTGACTATCTTTGCTTTTTAGTGCTTCCTTGAAGGCCTTTAGTTCTGAGTCTGGCAACCCTTCAGTCACATTCAAAGCATAAAAAACAAGATCAACATAATTGTACCTTTGAGGTGGTACAATCTCCCTCCTAACTCTATCATGAGCCAACTAATAATTAGGAGACGATGTATACTACCCTTCAATGGTACCATAAATAAGAGTCTCTACCACCTCCTCGTCTCTAGTTTCACTAGTAGAAATCTCCACCTCAAACTGAGTCTTTTCCACCATAGTTTCCTATTCTTTAACATCCAGTTCTTTTCACTTCATCTTTATACAAGTATTATCAAAATTAAAATTCCCACTTGTGATAAATTCTGATCCTCCAGGATCCATCTTCCATTGTTTGTAACCTTCCACCCCTTCAATATAACTAAAGAAGACACACTTCACAGTCTTAACATTAAGTCGGTCTTGTTTAATATGAGCAAACACCAAGGCTCTAAAAATCTTTAAATTTGAGTGGTCTATCAGTTTCCTACTCCAAAATTTCATAGGTGTCTTGAAGTTTATTCATGTGGACGTACATCTGTTAATCAAGTAAGTTGCGGTAGCAACAACTTCACCCCAGAAACTCATTGGTAACCCAACTCCCAACAACATATACCTTACTCTCTCCAAAATGGTTCTATTCATGCATTCTTCTAAGCCATTTTGTTGAGGTGTTCCAACAACGGTTCTATGCTTATTGATACCATATTTCCTTAAAAACTCATTAAACCGCTATGAAACAGACTCCAGACCATTGTTAGTTCTTAATACATTCATTTTAGTTTTCAATTGATTTTATATAAGAGTATACCATTCATTAAAATTTTCAAAGGTGTCCTTTTTACTTTTCAAAATGTAGACACATAATCTTCTAGATAAATCATCAATAGAGAGGAAATATAATCCACCCCATGAGTTGTCACCCTTGTCGGATCCCATAGACGTGAGTGAACATACTCAAAAGGTCTACTAGAATTATGCACACCACTCCCAAACTTCACCCTATATTGTTTGCCTATAATGCAATTATCACAAAATTCTAGTTTATTTAATTTCTCACTCCCTATCAAACCTTATTTAGCAAGTTTAACTAAATCTCTTTCAATGACATTCCCTAATCTCAAATGCTACAACTTAGATTTATCAAGAAGGTCTTGACTAGCTACTGATGCATGACCAATAACAATGGAACCATCCAAAATATACAACCCACACATTTTGGATCCTTTAGCCATTATTAATGCACCATACAAAATTATCAACACCCCACATTCAATTCTAGTGCAATAGCCTAGATCATCAAACATACTTATGGACAACAAATTTTGCTTAAGTGCGAGAATATACCTTAAATTGCATAGAAGAAACTCACGATCATCGAACATTTTTAGTCTGATTGTACAAATACCATGAACTTTGAAAGCATTATTGTTTCCAAGTCGAACGACTCCACCTTCTTTCAGCTCCAAAGTTTTAAAATATTATTTCCTTGGACACATGTGATAAGAGCAACCTAGGTCCATAACCCAACCCCTTTCTGTTTCCAAGTTGTTACCACTAGTGCGACAACACTTTCATAACCATCTTTGTCCGAGGAAATTAATATGAACATAATCACCCTTGTTCCTTTTTTCAGGATAATCCTTCTTGAAGTGATCGATTTTGTGACAATTGAAACATTTAAACTTTAACTTATCAAAAATCTTGGACTTAGAATTTGATATGGATCTCTTTCCTTTGTGGTTTCCTCTACTCTCACTCTTTTCCATTGAGACACTTAAGCCTTCACTAGTATCGCCAACCTTCAAATCTTCCAACTTTGATAACTCCTTCGATCTTACGATCGTCTAGACTTCATCCAAAGTAATAGTTTATTCCTTACCATAAAGTAGGGAATTCTTAAAGTGCTCAAAGGATTTGGCCAATGAGCTTAACAAGAGTATAGCCCTGTCCTTATCTTTAATTTTCATATCCATATTTTAAAAATCATCAATGATCTTGTGAAATTCTGCTAGCTGCTCCACAATAAATTTATTCTCCACCATACGAAAGGAATAAAGTAGTTATTTTAGACATAACATGTGAGACACTGACTTTTTCATATATAATGATTCAAGCTCGACCCACATCTCAGCAACGATCTTTTCCCCCGCGACTTCCCTTAATACTTTATCTCCGAGACATAAGATAATGACACTTTTGAACTTATCCACCATCCCAGCCTTCTCAGCTTATGTAAGGTTTACATGCATCATTGTCTCTCCCTTCAATGCTTCTGCAGACTTTTTGTTGAATTAGTATTGCTCGCATCTTTACCTTCCGCAATTCGAAGTTGTTGTCTCTGGAAAACTTCTCAATGTCCCATTTGGAGTCCATGGTTCTCACCTGTAGACTTAACCCTTTTGCCCCATGATGAGCGCCACTTATTGTGATAATGACAAGGTTCAATTTAAATCAACATTTTAATATTCAGAGGCAAATAACAATGGCAACCAAACAAATGACCTAAAGCAATAAAAATAATAGTTGACAAGAATACAAGAAATTTGTTTACTCAGTTCGATCAAGTGATCTACATCTGGGGGAGAGAGCAATTATCCAATTCAATATACTCCAAAAGTTGTTACAAGAGATTACAATTGAGTTACAAGAAAATAGTCTTCCAAGTTCCCCAAAATAAACTCTATTTTCTATCCAAGTATTTTCCAACCTCTCCAACTCTCAATATAAGAATCGCACAAACCCAAAGTGTTTAAAGTGTTTATCAATTATGATAACCCCAAAAGGGTGACAAATCCCTAAAATATAACTCTAAGAATTTTACCCTTTGCTTTCTCAATAGGATTTCTACCTTATGGAATTTGTATCTAACAAATGAGAGAAAACTCATATTTATAATAACAATATATTAACAGGTCCAAGATATGACCCATTAACCAACGAATCCACAGACAAACCAAAAATTGTCATTACCAAAATATGTCTCTTTTCTCACTTAATGTTTTAAGACATATTACAATAAATATATTCAAATCCAATTTAATTTAAAAAACCAAAAATTATACAATGTTAAATAGTATTATTGAATACAATAAATGATATTTTCATAAAATCGCCTAGAACATATCAAATTCTGAATTGAATTTTCAAAATCAAATAAAATCATATATATATATATATATATATATATATATATATATATATATATATATATTAAAATTTTATATTTTATATTAGTATAATATATTATATTAATTTATTATTAGTTGATTTTTAATTTTAATATAACATTTTAATAATTATTTTGTTTAAACATAATTGATAAATTTTAATCCAAAATATTAAAAGTTAATACGAATGTTAAATTAAATATTTGAGTTTAAAGATAATGCATTATCTGTGTAAAATGATTTTACACATACAATCAATCAGAATTCTTATATTTTTCATGTCATTTCAATATTTTAAAAATAAAAAATGAGTTTTATTGTGATGCATGTCTTTCATTATTTGACATGCATGTCTTTCGTTATTTGACAGTGTAAAATGAGTGTAAATTTTCTTTTTTCTCTAAATCTATTATGTTATTTAATCATTATAATATTATTTTTAATTAAAAATATAATCTATACATTTGATTATCCAAAAATTGATTAAAAATAAGAGTTTAAAGGAGATGCATTGATAGTATAAAAAAATTTTACACTGTCATTCGATAGAAACATATCGTTTTGTCATGTCATATAATTTTTTAAAAAATGACAGTTTGACTTGGTTGAATTCATACTCGTGATTGATTAACGGTGTAAATTTTTTTTCCGGTGTGAATGCATATCTATTTTCTCAAAAAGTAAAAAGTATTAGATAAAATAAATTCAGATTAAATTTTTTTAAATTTATTTATTACTAACCGTATATAATTTTATTTTTATATAAAATAAGTTTTTGGTTCAAAATAATACGAATACCGCTACTTGAAAATAAGCGTCTTCTTGAGAAAAAATCAAACTTCCAATTCAAATTGCAAAACTAGAGGGAATCCACAGAATTCAAATTTCTCCAGATCTCTCTAATCTTCTTCCTCGCTCCCACTTCCAAACCCTAACCTTCCCCTTCTTCCAATGGAGGAAACCCTAAGCCCTACCAGACAGAGGCTTCCCGTTGCGGCACGAATTCAATCTCCTACATCTCCCTTCATACTCGGTTCGAATGACGATCAGCTCGAGCGCGCTCAAGCACGAGCAGCACGCGCCGCCGCTATCCGTCGCAAGACTCAGATTGACTCCCAATCCGATGCCGATTCTGATCCCTGTCTCAACAAACAGCAGATCTTTGATTTGTTCCAGAACTGCATAAAGCTCGCCAGCGAAAATGTAAGCACAAAATGGAATTGAAATTTTGGTTTTTGTGAATTTTTCTTTGCATTGACGCTAATTGAACGTTGGTGGTGTGCAGAAAATTAATCAGAAGAACACTTGGGAGTTAAACTTGATTGATCACCTTACTGATATTGTTAAGCCAGAAGAAGAAAATGATACGGAGACTAACTTTCAGAAGGTATGTGGGCTTTAAACTTGTCTGGATATGATTAGGGTTTATACTTTTTAGCATATGGTGTTTGTTCAATAGTTTTATACTTGTCTCTATATGATTAGGGTTTATACTTTTTAGCATTTGTTGAGTAGTTTTCTTATGCTTGTCTGGATACGATTAGGGTTTATACTTTTTAGAATATGATGTTTGTTGAATAGGTTTCTTTTTGTTGCAATTGGTGATGTCATGTGCTATAATTCCGAGTCTAACAGATTATGCAAAATTGATTATTAGATTATCGGCTGCACATATGAACGTACTAGCTATGAAACACTGACAAAGACACAAGAGTGACACACAGACAGTGGTAATAATTTAAGAAAACGGAAATGACTGAGTACATTTCATGTTTTGGTGTCACCGGCCACGGCTTCAATCCGAAGTGTTAAGTGCTAGATTACGCAAAATTACTGATTAGATTATGGGCTGCACATATGAATCTAGTAACTATGCAACACTAATATTGAGAGAGACACAACAGCGACATATGGTCGGCGGTAATAGTTTAGGAAATTAGAAGTGATTGAATATAATTACATATGTCGGTGTCCCACAATGGACACGGCTTCAATCCGATATGTTAGTACTACATAGTTGTATTTGTATACTTAAGGTAGTTTCATTAAATTTTATTTGGATAGGCAAGCTGCACTCTTGAGGCTGGTGTCAAAATTTATTCATTAAGGGTGGATTCAGTGCATTCTGAGGCATACAAAGTCCTTGGAGGGATGAATAGAGCAGGACATGAAGCTGAGCCAGGTTACAATCATTTCCCTCTTACCGAGCCTAGTACATTCTGATTCTCTTTTTTGTTTTTCTTCACTAATTGTATTTGTAGTGGGTTTTCTTGATGATATCTTTGTAGATAAGTTATAGGGATTGCCTTTTTTCGGTCTTGTATATGGTGTATTGTCATATAACATATGCTCTAGTTCTAACAGTGTTGTCGATGGTGGCCCATGTCGGAGAGCCAAAATCCCGCCATACAGGCCACTTATAGCGGAAAAACCAGCAATATCAGCCGATATTTACCATTGTGGCAAATCCAAAATCTGCCATGTATATCCGCCATAGCGCCCATGATACCGCTATTTGATAACACTGATTTCTAATAATGTTTGATATCTTGTGATTGTATGAATTCAAATGGCTTGATATTCCTAGTACATGTTTGATATCTTGTGAATGTATGAATTCAAATGGCTTGATATTCCTAGTACATTTTGGTATCTTGTGAATGTACGAATTCATATGACTCGATGTTCCTAGTACAATGCATTTACTTTTTTGGTTTTGTAATATGTGTTCTTTATTAAGTTCTAACTAATGATAAGTCATAATGTCAGAAACTACCATGGAGGGTATTAATGTTGAAAGTGGACAAAAAGGAAGCAGGAAAGAGACAGATAGAAAGGTCAGTAGTTTTTGGATCTTTGGTCTTGACTGATAAATGATAGTTTCTGCTTGGTTTGAACCGTTGTGTGTTCATGCAGTTGTCACCTTTGTCAACACTGGAATCATCTTTTGAGGCTCTTAATGTCAAGAAGTTTGATGGTGATTTTGAATCCTTATTCTATTTTCGTTACTAGTTATAGGCAGCAGGGTTGTAGTTTTGCTGAAAATGTATATGCTGTTATATTATATTCCTTTCAGCTGCATTTGTTGTGGATCCCCTCTATCGCCAGACAACGGCAAAATTTGACGAAGGAGGAGCCAAAGGCCTTTTAATGAATAATCTTGGGGTTTATGGTGGTTGTAGGATGCTCTTTGATTCACAAGAAGTACCTGCAAAGTGTATGACAAGGCAAAATGGACCTGATACCTCGAATACCATTGATCTTTCTTTTGCCAAAGGTGCATTGTCTTGTGAAATATTCGGTTAAGCTGTCTCTATCAGTACATTTGCAAACTGAAACACATTCGATGTGGTTAATTGTGACAGACTTTTCTTTATAGATTGTGTTGAGCAGATGTTATTGGAGTTGCGTGTAAAGAAAGAAATTTCTCCAACTCTCCGGACTATAGTAAACCAATTTGACGAGACTAATAGAAGGCCTACTGATTTTCAACTTCATGGCCAGAATTCAGCTGAAGAGCTTGATGCTGATTTTAATTGTGAAAATGGGACTGACGGAGCAGACTATGAGAACTGCACGACCTGGAGTGAGGATCATGATGATCAACCAGTTGTTGATGATCTAGGCTCTAATGATGTTGATCCAAGTTTCCCTAGTTACCCTCAGGTTTTCTCATGTTTTAACCACAGAAACCTCTGACTGTTTTGAATAAGCTTTTAAAGTAGTCTTCTGACAGTCTAACAAGTGAATGATGCATTGGCTAAAGTTAAACTCTAATTTTGTAGGAAAATGAGCAATTTCCTTCCACAGAGTCTGATATGGATGACAGATTTGAAAATGTTGATGGGTACTTATTCTTGAGTCTGGGTTTTAATTCAAAACAGAATGCTTGGGCAGGCCCTGATCATTGGAAGTATAAAAAATCTAAAGGTGAGGTTTGGTTGCCAGATAAAGAGATTCAAACGCTCTATATTTCTTAGAAATGAACATTGTATTTATTCTAATTACTTTGTCGTAGTTTCTGAGGTTCAACCTACTTCCGAAGATGGGCCAACCCTGAAAACTAGGCAGACAAAGAGTAAGAAACAAACTGAAGTTGATTTAGATTTCACAAATTCTCTGGAGAAAAACTTTATGGATATATTTGCTCCTCCCAAGAATCCAAAAACATTACTTCTCCCTGAGAGCAGGCCGCCTTGCAATACAAAACTTCCAGAGGACTGCCACTATCAGCCAGAGGAACTTGTCAAGCTATTTCTTCTTCCAGATGTGAAGGTAGTTTCTTTAAAACATAGAAATCAGTTTCAAAGTCCTTTTCTTGTCTGTAGCGATATTTAGTGCCTTTGTCAGTCTATCTCTAATGATTTTTGTTCTTTCTTTAGTGTCTTGGGAGGAGGGCAAAACGATCCCCAGGTAAAATGTTTTAAACTTTTCCTTTTTCAAATACAGATTAATCACCACGCTTGTATATTTAGAGATCATTTAAAATGTTTTCAGCTGTCTTTAGATTGTATTTCAAGTTTGGGTGCATTTGCAGATGCAGATGGATCTAGTGAACAGTTCAATGAGAATGATGTATTCCCGTCTTGGGATAATGGAAGTGCTTGTGGAGGTGATGAGGCTGGTGACTATGAAGGTGTTCATCACAATGATATTGAGGACCTTGACACTCTTATTACTCAGCCTCGGCAGGTAGGTGTTTTTTTGTATGCACACACTCCTATTATGCACCTAAATGATAAGATAATGTCTTAATATTGCAGCAAGAGTTTTAGTATAATTATATATTGCATATTTTCAAATGACAGGTCAGTAAAATCGAAGTCCAGTATGACAGAACGTCCAAACAAGTTGATGTTCAAGCGTTAAAAGTTACACTATGGGACCAAGTTCAAGCATCTATTAAACTTCCTCCTGTTCAGGTACACCTCCATTTCTAAAGAAGTTTTCTTTAAGACATGGTGCTATTTTAACTTTCCATAGGATATTAGAGCATTATTCTTTTTTGCCTTGCTTTGAATAATAAGTTCTAATTCTTGCAATTTTTTTACCCTTTCTTTATTCTAAAGGATCAAGAAGAAATAGTATATTTCAAGAATGTATTGGCTAATTTTCCTGCTGAATGCAATGCTGCTGCAAACATCAGCGACATCTCTCCTCATTTGTGCTTTATATGTCTACTGCATTTGGCAAATGAGAATGGATTGAGACTTCAAGGCTTTCCTAACTTGGATAATCTTTCAATATTCCTTCCACCTGATGCTGATGCTGCAGTTTAGGATTTAGAAAATACTTCGGTAAGTGCTTCAAGTTGGGATTGATGATGAGCTTTCATTGAATTTTCACGCCTGCCTCTTCAAATTATTATTTTGGAATTTTGTATTTAAATATTTAAACTTTAAATCCAATCTGTCCGTAGAAATTTAATCTCAACTATCAATTGATATTTTGGCCTTGATTAATTCTCTCATATCATACAACTGACGTGAGCTTATGCTTCGGATTTCAGATGGAGATTGTAACAAGTTAATTATGGCTATGGCTGGCTGTTCAAGTCTCATCTTGTTCTGACAGAGTGAACTCATGTTTGCTCCCATTTGTATCCTCTAGTTTGTATCGATTCTTGTGTTTGATAATGCTCAAAGTTTGATGAATGAATTAATGTTAAACTGATTGTTAGAGCTCTACCCCTCCCGGCATTTTATATTTTAACCGAATATCAAACTTATAACATGTTTGGATTGATTTTTGAAAGACCCATAATCAATTTTAGAGGTGTAGAATTGTTTCTGGGTGATTTTGAGGTATTTGGTTTATCAAAAGTAGAATTTATTCTGTTTTCATAATTAATTCTATTTGAAGCTAAAATTTGTAGCTTCTACTTTCAGAATTGATTTAGAGTGATTTTTACATTGAAATTTATTGTTCAACTCATTTTTACATAAATCAATTTTGTTAAACTCAATTTTATAAAAATCAATTCTACCAAACTCAATTCTGTTAAAATCAATTATGTTCACCGCCAATCCAAACACCCCTGAATCACATTTTCTCACAAGCAAATACAAAATATTTAATTACTCTATTAAATTCCTAATTTTTCACTCATATATATACCTCTTCACGTTTTAATTTTCCCATTTAGATGACATGGGGAAGGATGTAATTTCCCTGATTTTCTTGCTGCAGATATGTATGTATATTGTGTTTCACTGGCATATGACCGTTAGATTGCAATAAAAAAGTTAACAGTTAATAAAATGGATCACTGGTACAGCAGCGTGCTCTTAACTTGGTCCCTCAATTTTTTAAGGGTTTGTTATCTGGTTCTCCATTTTTATAAAGTGTCACATTAACTTGACACTTTTTGTTAAGGGATTAACTGAAAATCTTTTATTAAAAGTGGAGGAACAAATTGAGATGAGCAATGTGATGGGTAGTTGTTTTTTTGTCTATTTTTATTTGAGGTCCTTTTTTGTTGCGGTTTATTGTTCAGTGTGTTTCTGTTTTGTGGTGCATTTAGGTTACTTTTGGTGTTCTGTAGTCGAACTATTAAAATCGAAATTTATGAAAGTTATTTATGGTTAGAACATTCAATTGAATTAATGGAGGTTTTTATAAAGTAGAAAATAAAAGAATTAGAGTGAGAGAGAGAGAGAGTAATTGAGAGTGAGAAGAGAAATTATCATTAATTTTTCACATTATACTACAAAGGGTATTTATACAAGCAAGCTACAATGATTGGGACCCGAAAATATAAAGCAAATAAGCTGAAAACTTAAAAATTTGGGCTGGTAACCGGTTACGCTAAACTGTATAACTGGTTACCACTGCTAAATAAACTGAAAAAATACACTGTCATGTAACCAGTTATGCTATTTGCTGTAATCGGTAACTGCCCCGGAAAATAACTTATTTTGCTTCCAGAAGTGCTTATTTGACTTAATTAAAATGCTCTAAGTTCTCCATGCCCATGCTCATCTTTTATCTTTTGAACATATCATTTGTGACTCCCTTTGTCAACAAATTAGCAACTTGGTCTTCACTTTTACAATATCCCAATCTTAGCTTGTCTTCACTCACCATATCCCTCAAGTAGTGAAACCTCATTTCAATATGCTTACTCCTCTCATGTGCATTGGGATTCTTAGCAAGGTTAATAGCTGAAACGTTATCAATCAAGAGTGTGACAACCTAACCCTCATTGTTGTCCAACTCATGCAGTAAATTCATCAACCACACGACTTGTCACACACATAATGACGCGACAATATGCTCGGCCTCACAAGACAAGAGTGCAACCACCAGTTCGTTTTTAGAACATCATGAGATTGGTGCTTCTTCGAACATAAAGATGTATCCGGATGTAGACTTACAATCATCTTTATCTCCGCACCAATTGGAATAAGTGAAACTAAGAAAATTGCATTTTTTGCCCATTTCCGCTGTGGGAAAGAGAATTCTGCACCCAATAGAACCTTTTACGTACCTTAGGATTCTCTTGACTGCTGCCAAGTGAAACAGTTTCGATCTCTCCATGAATCTACTCGCAATACCGACACTAAACGCTAAATCTGGCCGCGTATTGCACAAGTAACGTAACGATCCAATCAATCTCCTATATTGAGTAGAATCCACATTCTGCTCATCCTCACTTTTGGACAGATGCAACCTTGCTTTAGTTGGTGTTATGGCAACATTACAATGCTCAATATCACACCTTTTCAAGATTTCAAGAGCATATCTCCTTTGATGCATGAGCAGTCCCATTTTTGACTTACGGAACTCTATGTCAACGAAGTATCTCATAATCCCAAGATCACTCATCTCAAATTCTTTCATAAGCTCACTCTTGAACTTAGAAATAATCTTCTCATTGCTGCATGTGATCAACAAATCATCCACATGTAGACAAAGTATGACCACACCTTCAATTGCACTAGACTTCATGAAATTCTGGCAGCAGATACTTAATGTCACAGTGAATGTTATGACACCGTATCTGACTTTCTATAAGACAGTAAATCAAAAATTAGTAAAGAACACAGTCAATTGTTTACCCAGTTCAGTGTGAAACAACACCTACTCTGGGGGCTACCAAGCCAGGGAGGAAATTCACTATAAGAGATATTAATTCAGGAATAAATCAACCAGTTTATCTCCTTCACTTAAGACCTACCCAATGCAACTTCAATCTAAGTTCAACTTAAACCTGAGTTCCTACTCACTCCCCCTCAATCACAGCAGTGATACTAAACAATTGACTAATGAAATAATGAAGACACTCTTCAGAACATACACTTGATTATGCTTCACAGCTTTTAATCAAGTAACACAAACACTTGTGCTTCAAAGCTTTGAGTGATACACAATCCTAACTTGACCTTGCTTCAAAGCTTTAATCAAGTGACACAAACACTCTTGCTTCAAAGCTTCGAGTGATACACAATCCTTACAATCAAAACCTACTCCAAGTCACTTATCACAATGATACTTGCTTGGATTACAGTAGTTAAAACTATACAGCCCCTAGTTGATCTTCTGTCAAAGAGTTAATTTTCCAACAGCTTTCCTGTTGAATATATATGCAGCTGTTTCTTCAGTTAGGGCTTCCACGAAAAGCTAGGGTTAATTAGGGTTAACCTCAAGACTTGGTTACAAGACTTTATCAACCAGATTAGGGTTGAGCTAGGTTAACCTAAAGTCCACGTGAGATTCTATTCTGGAAAGTATGAACCAAATTCCTGAAAAATCTCAGAATTAACCAAACTGCAAAACTGTTAGATCAGTACAGGATGTCTTAACATTGGTTATGACAACAGAAATCCTGTTTACTGATTTTGGTAGCAGGTAATAAATGTGATCATTGCAAAATGCTCAGATACATACTCATAAATAGCAGCTACTCTATGCCATTCTTTTTCTGCATAAAGTACCTAAAAACCCAGAATGTTATGACATCAGTCATGACATTCACACACCTGGTTTTACCAAAAATACATGCCAATAACTAAACACTTACAAACTCCCCCTTTGGCAAATTTTTGGCTAAAACCCCTAAACAATCAGAGAATAGAGAGCAGCAAAAATAATATGTCTGCAGAAAAAAAATAATGTCTACCAAGTAATTAACACAAATCTTCTCCCCCTCTTTAGCCATAAATAGGCCAAAGATACATGTACTTATAGGTTATACAGTCATCCAAAATGAGTAATAAAAACAACAAAAAATCTGAAATCACTTGCAGCAACAGGTACCAGCAGCAAGCTTGACAACTCCACGAAACTTCAAGCACTGTCATCTTTAGAGGAGGCACTTTCTTCAGCATTAAGCTGATCTTCAGCAACATCCTCTTCCCTTCTTTGTCCTTCAGTCTCCTCCTGTTCTAATCTGGAAATTAGGTTCTCAAGAGTCCTTTTCCTTGTCTTCAGCTCTTTGCAGGTTTCCTTCAGCACATCTATAACATCAGATGTCTTGGACTGAGTTTTGACAGTTGATGTCTCAGCTGATGTCATGACAATGTTAGGAACATGAGTTCCCTGAAATAGCTTATAGTGCAACCCAAGAGTAGGGGCTCTTTTGCATACAGTATCTCTTTCCACTAGGATGTCAGGATACTGAGCAAGGACAATACCACATAGGAGGGAGGGAAAGGCAATAGGGCCTTTAACAGCATAGCTTCCAGCATGTTTTAAAGTTTGATCAAAGATATACCTGCCATAGTCAAATTATGTCCTGGTTCCAACAACATAAATGAATCTTCCCAATCCTGTGGAGATGGTTGATTTATGGTTGGTAGGAACCCAGTTGGCTGCACCAATCTTGTGCAGGATGGCAAATTTCATGCTTAGCTTGCTTGCATTCAGCTTGCCTTTTAAGGGCCAGCTCCCTACTTGATTTGCAGTGATGGTTTGGCATACTTGGTTGTCAGTCACCTCTAGTTCAGGGCAAGCCTCATCTGGTCTTCCAAGGAATTTGTTTATTTCAGAGGGAGAGAAATTAACTTTTCTTCCTCTCACATAGACACATTTAAAGTCAGCTGACCTTCCATCAGCACATCCATCAGATAAATTTACTATGAATTCTTTGACAAGATTTTCATAGCATTTGGTAAACTTTACCACAATATTCATTAGTCCAACAGTTTTGATTAGGTCCATGATCTCCTTACATTCCATGGCACCATTGTTCAGTTCTCTTTCCAAGGCTATTCTTTTTAAACAAACATACTTCCATCTGTTGGCATTTTCAGGGTGGTGAAAAGAATTGTTGTCAGTG